CCGTTCGGCTGAGGTACAGCTTCCAAAAATACGCTCAAAATAAAAGATAAAAGAGTATATCTATCTAAAAATACATTTAGAATGATTATCCATACACTAAGTGAAAAGAGAATTTCTCTATTTTTTATAATTTTCTTTTTCCTTTCATTTTTGTTTTACTTTCAAATAAAGTGGAAAATTTATACTATTGTTACAAAGTTAAATATAAATTCACGAGCTCTGAATCAAAAATTACAAACTAAACAGAAAATTACCATCACAGGGTAGCAATGACCATAGCTAGTGGCATTCTCTTACAGCAACTATTGAGACAATTTGTTTGTTCCCTTTGTAAAACAATTGATTTGCTAGCGCTAAAAGCACTATTGTATTCGGTAACAGCTAACAACCAGTTACATCAAAGTCAAAAAAATGATATAAATAATAAAATATGATTGATTTTGAGAAACTTTTCGAAGTTGCTAAATTAGAGGAAATTTTTGGTTATATTGCTTAAAACAATTGATATTATGAAAATGTGTAAAAAATTACAAGACATTACTTTTATCGACCCGTTAATTACATCTTTAATGATGCAATGAGAAGAAAAAAGTTTCATTTCTAATAAATAATTTCAATTAAATATTTTTGTAAAAAAAATTATAAATTAACATAAAATCGATATCTTAATTTTTTTAATTTATTTTACTAAAAGGATGCACGAGTTTCCAGAAACACTGGCAGAGATGAAAGATCCATGTACAAGGTAAAACTATATCTAACATTAATTATGCCACAAATTGGCTGAGATCAAGCTAAGTAAATTTAATGATAAATGATATGATCCATGTAAATATACAATCAGAAATTGTGTTTCGAAGTATACACGTTAAAATAAACAACACCTTTAACATTTCTAAATAACAAAAATAGAAAGAACTACGACTGATTCTATAACAGTTTAACTGAATTCTACCAAAAAATATTACCTAGCTTATTATTACTCTGGGTATAACTCTTCCAAAATAATGAAGGAACCTGCAACCAATTAACAGTGTCATCCTAAAGTTTTATTCAGTCAGACCCAGACAGCATCTCTTCATAGAACCAGATGCAAAAATAAAAAATAGATGGAAAAAGAAGAAGTTTGGTTTTTTTTCTTTCTTTTCTTCGATTGATATAATTACACCCAAAAAAAAAAGCACCATCTTTTTTCCATTTTGTTTCATGTGTCATGTTGTCACAATTTTCTACATAAAATATTAAAAACATAGCATTTTCATAATTATCAGTGAAACCATATCGAGAATGAAAATACAAAAGAAAGCAACTATTGAATTTGCAAAACAAATTTAAGAGCAGCAACAAAATACTAAAATTATTTGGGTTGCAATATTAAGTATATTTATTTCAAAAGCTTGATCACATATACCACAGTCATCAAACTGATTCTCCTGAGACTTAGAAATTTTAAAGTTGCTGAATTACAAAAAAAAATTTGTAAGTCATAGAGTTATTAGATTTCTCTGCTCTGTTATATAAGCATGTAAGATCAATTTCATGATCTATGGCATATTTCCTTGTATGTTTCTCAAAATTAGGATCAGGGACTGGTTCTTACCTACTAAATGTCATACTTCCACTTTGGAACAGTCGATTATAGTTTCATTCAAAAATCTGGAACTAATTACCCCAAATGCCGCACCAAGCACTTCATGAACTCACTGGACAAGAAAAACACAGTATAAAAACACGGAAGAATCAACCATAGAAAAGAAACCCACCAACGAAAGTTAATTTTAAACAAAAAAATAGCATCTAAAGTAAAGTACGCAAGAGGCAAGCCGACTGCCTGGCCAACCCTTTTTGTAACTATACAACACAAGGGTGAATAAAATAGCTGTTGCAGGTTTCAGTAAATGAAAAATAGAAACTTGGAGTTTAAACTAGGTTTAATACATCATTAGTTTATTGATTTTTTTGGAAAAATTAATAAAGTCATTAAACTAAAATAATTTGTAATCGAGTCCTTGAAGTTAGTTTATGACAATTTAAAACCACTAGAAAAATAACAATTTGTAGCAATTTTAGTAACTCTAAAGATCCAATTATAAAAATTGTAAAAGGTTAAAGACCTAATTATAATTTTTTTAGTTTAGAAACTTAATTAAAATCTTCCAAAAAGTTCAAGAACTAATAATATATTAAACCTTTAAACTATGCGCCTAAAAGGTATCTGAATTTAAAAAGGATAAATCCTACGACTTCATTTGGAAGCATAGAAGATTTTGGGTAGTAATAACAATTAGAAAGCAGTTCATTTGAGGGTTTACATATGGAAAATAAAATGCATAACCAAGGGCGATTTAAAAATTTACATCCTATTTAAATATCAGATAAATACTGTAACTAGCAATTTGTAAGACACTGAACGCTGAAATCAAATTGAATAACTTTGTTAGTTTGTTTATATCAGGCTTTATACTCTGTATATAATTTTACTTTAATGCCATAACAAAATGTCAAAGCACCTTGGATATTAGCCTCATGGATCTTCTAGGCAGCTTCAGAGCGGTATTCTTCATGCTTCGTAAAACTCTTGTAGGTTTATCATTTGAACCATGAATCTCGGAGTCTCTGTTTTTTCTCTTCTTGCAAAGCTCCATTTTAGAATCATGAATATTGTAATCTAGGCTAGATTTCTTAAGTGGATCATCAAATTGAGAGCATCTGAAAGCACGGTATAAATAAGCTCAAATCAGTTGCATAAAAGCTTTAAAAACACCAAAAAGTATTACTAGGAAGAGTAATTACTCTGAACTCTCTCTTCCATCGACAATCTTGCCCACCTCCTGCAAACAACAAAATGTTTTACATACTTAACAAAAGTAATTACACTAAACAAAAAAACAAAAAAAAAGACAAATATTAGGTACATAAGAGAAACATTCCAGAAGCCAGCACAGGATCATCAAAACTTTTAGGTAGCATATATTTAAATAATCAACATTCTTTTCCTATGTAAAAATATACCTCATCATCTCCCACACGTCACAAACATGAAATATAAAAAATAAAACAAAAATTCATGGATGGGTTACAGTGGGTAGTGGTAAAATGTAGTATTCCAGGACAGAAAAGTATGAAGAGCTTTAGTACAAAAGTAAGCAACCAACAAATAATTAGATTATAAACAACACACTAATACTGATTAAATTACATCGACAAATATGCCAATTCAGTTAATAACAAACCTAATATAATGTAAGATGTCAAAATCTAAAGACTTTGAGAAACAGAAATATTTAGGCAATTGCATTAGTAATAATATCAATATAACTGTGATAATAAAAAACATCTTTCTTTTTCATCACTGGTAGATTTCAAATTCTTCCAACAATTTATTGCATATGTATTTTAGATACGGTGTTTATATGCAAAGCTTAATACATTCGCACCCCACCTAACAGACATAAAACTTTTAAGTTTATAGTTCAATGGCCTCAATTTCATGATTAAAAGGCTCTCCAAAATTACATCTGTCAAATACAGTATTACAACAAGCGCCAAATCATTAAGTTGGAACTGGAATAGTTTCAACCACATCAAGTCTAATGTACTTAGTCATGCCCAAAGTATAAGAAGGAAAAATGAAAAATCTTATGAATGAAAAGCAATATATATAAGGCTGAAGGAAGCACTATACCCATTCATCAGTTAGTGATGTGAAATTGTTGCTGTCAGATTCAAAATTAATCTTAGTTTTGATTAGTCTACCCTGTTCCATATCAGATGTGCTCTTTGGATCACTTAAATCCAGGGAACCATCATTGTAACAGAGTGAAACTGATGCATATTTATGACAACAAATAACTTCTGAATTTTGTAGTCCCGCAGAACTACTTAATGAAGCTCCAGCACACACCACGCCAGGGTTCGCAAAGCAAGAACCATTTAGCAGAGCATAATCCTCAGAACATTCATTATCAGGCTTTGAATTTTGAAGTTCTAGTGTGCCATTATCTGACACTGAGTAGACAACAGAATCATAAAGTGACTTGACGAATGGCAAATTGGAAGCATCTGAATCAAGGATTTTCTTAGACGCATCTTTAGCACAAGATTCGGCACCAGAAATAAAGTTGTTCAGTTCACCACAACTGACTTCAGCTGAGACAGTTGATTGAGCTTGCATTAAATTGTCCACTACATTTACATTCAAATCAGCTGAGACAGTTGACTGATTTTCCTGTAAATTATCTTTCACTTTCATAGACGTGCTGCATGGAGTCAGTGAATCACATATCAAAGGAATGCCATCTTTATTCTGATGATCTAACTGTGTTTTACCATCTTTTGTCAGTTTCAAGCTTGAGGAAGATCTGGCTTCTCCATCATGATCATCAATTTGACCAGAATTTGTACTCCACAAAAAGGAAGATTTACCTTGTGTGCGGTTCTTTCCTAAGCCGCTGAGTTCCTGCCAAAGGCTTTGGGATTTGTTTCCATGCACATTCTCACTCATGCAAACCTCATTTCTAAACCTATTAATCCAATCTGATGGAGACAAATTTAAATCAACATGAAGATTAATTCCCACATCTGACCAGACATAGAACTCAAAAGAGGAGGTAGGAACTTCAGTAGCTGCTTTTATTGAAGAAGCAAATTTTTTCTCTACTGAAGGTGCACCTGCTTCTACTGCTCCGCCATTATTTTGGTGACAATTAAGCAATGTGCTGTCCCTCATTTTGCCTGAATGAATGTCAAAGCCTTTTCCAGGTGACTTGGTCTTCTTCTAACCTCCTACATGCATTATTGCATCGTATAGCTAAAGCCTCCTGCAAGTGCTGCAGACGATTAAATGAGACATGTTCCAACAGATTGTACAAAGAAAACAAAAATGTGAATAAAGATGGAATAACTTTTCATCCAGATCATCTTTCCTTGCCTTGAATACATCTATGCCAAGTCACAGGAGCAATACATAACTTCTATAAGTAGATGTCAAGCATAGTTTTCAAGTTTCAAACAATTGTGTAAACCATTAATGGAAGACTGAAACTTGCATTGTCATCCTCACTAACATAATGATTATTCTAATCCATTAACAGACACAAAAGAAGCAAATTGTTGTTAACCTTAATCCTGTGGGTCCAGCCAAATTTGGCATCACATGCCAAAGTTGAAGATGACAAACTATTAATGCATGAAAGAAAGAAAATCAGGAGCAGAGGAAAAATTTACATCCACCCACTTGCTAGATTAGTTTTGGTCAGTAATATGAAATCATTAGGCTGCAGTGATAACTAAGAAGGACTTTGGCCCAACAATGATAAAGATCTTGAATCAAAAACTATCCACATTTGTCCCCCATTCTGTGTAAATTGGAGGAATTGCAGAATGGAGAGTGACTAGAAGCAAAAGGCAGAGCCAAAGCTTCTCAAAGTGAGAATAAAAAGTAGAGGGTCAGCAAATCCTACTACAAGCATCCAGATACACTGAATAGGATTGGGCGTCATCTCTGTAACTCCTTGATATTTCGCAATCACAGAAAATGGTAACATAAGAATGAGTGGACCTCGGTGGGAAACATCATGTTTATAACTCTCACATTAGAAGGTGTGGAATGGATATTGTTAATTATACAGTAGAATGTTTTTCCCTCTCTTAGAGGGTTCTTCCACGTGTTCTTTTATCACTTTGAACATTTTTAGCAGCACCACCATAATGCGATATCTAGTTTTCTGATATCCACTTCAGTGTTCCCTAATCACTCAGCAATTTCATTTCAAAAAATTCTCATGTTGAGCCCATGAATCATTTGATATCCAAACCCGTTGCCCTCTTTTTGATCATTCAAAATGGTAGAGAGTGAATGACACCCCCATGACTACCTGACAGGGAACTAATGACATGCTACTGTCCACTTTTTGTGGGGAAGCCGAAGTCACAATTTAACTCAGGACTTTACTTGCCAAATTAATAGAAGCTCACCACAAAACTTAGTTTTCGCCAACGGACCTCTTTGAATAGGTATGAGGATTTTAATGATCTCGGGGCTGTCAAACCCTCGTCATGGAGATACAAGCTAGGAATGGATTCTAAATCATTCAATCTCCAAACGGATACCCTCTATTATTATTGCTTCTTCAAATGACCTAATATTATTATTATTCTGCCTTTAATAGGGAATTCTACCAGGAAATTACCATTACGAAACGTTCACACAAAATCACTTACAATTCATTCATTATGCTACATTTGGAGCAATCAATCACATTCGCACACATACAGCTATCATTTGTAAGCAAGCCATTACACACACTAGAAACTAGAAAGACGTGGACATTAGGTCATTTCAACGGTAGAAAAATAGAACCTACCCTAGGTGTAAGTGAAGGTGCGAAATTAAACTAATTGCGTGTGTGTGAAAAAAGAATGTGAATGTGAGGGGAATTGTTAAAATGCAGATAGTAAGCAATCGAAAGACACGATACCTGGTGGCAGGTGGTGGTGATGGAAAATGTTGCAGAGAAAAGGGACTTTCAACTTTGTGTTGTTGTGGGAAGGTTTTAGTTTTAGAGCGGAAGAAGAAGGTTTGAGGAGAGAGTGTGGTAATTTCGTGATTAACGATCGTTGGTGTTTAGAAGCAAAATGCATCCGTTTCTTTCTTTCTCGTGCCACGTGTAAGTGAACGGGCTACGGTGACTTGGATCAACGCCGTTTATTGGGCCTCGCTCCATGTACATACATGCACTTCCCTTCCAGGCTCCTATCCTCTCGGATGTGAATAACGGATCATCATTTTTGAATTTTCAACACTACTTTTGATATTACGCCAAATTAAGTGATATCACTTTATTTAAATATCAAAAATATGTGAACAAAGTTATTAGACTTGTCAAAATTGGTTGTTATAGTTATCAACACCATTATGAGAGAATAGGTTTGTCTTTATATTTTAAAGTTAATAAAATTAAGGCTAATTTAGCCTAATTCAATATATTAAATGAGTCAAATTAAGTACAAAATAAATTAGGAATATTTAATGTCAAAAAATTATATTTATTTGACTTATTTTTTGAAAATATATATAAAATTATAAAATAAAAAATAGATCAATTTATTTCCAAGTCAAGTCAACTCAACAAAAATACAATTTATATAACAATTAAGTCAAGTCACATATCATATCTTATTTTGTTGAAGATGATTAAATAACTTATTTTTAATAAAACATTAAAAAATTCTTTAACTACAATTTTTTTTTATATTGAGAGGTGTAATACAATACTTTTGTATAAAAGTTCTTACAAATTTAATAAGAAATATTTATTAATTTTGTAACCAATGACTTTGAAGTGTCAGCTAGTATGACATGATCAGTGTCTTAAATAACATTTATTAAACTGTGTAATTAATTTTATTTGAAAGTATGCAAATTGAGTTGTTCACTCTTTAATTAAAGTATTCTATTTTCATATTAGTTCTCAAATTTCTAATTTAGTTTACATTTGTATTGACTTATTTATTATGAATGAAATGATATGAGTTTTTTTTAAAAAAAATAATAAATATATAATTTTTATTAAAAGTTATCCTAAAAATATATAGTGACAATACTCTGTGCCATGGCCACAGCGCGCACTTGGAACTCACAAAAGTAGCTCCATTTCTGCGCCGAACTCATTCGGCTCAGCAGCCCCTGGCCTACCTCGGAGGTCAGGTCTTGACTCAGAAAATCCTGAGCGTTAACATTGCCAGCCAAGAAACTTGGTGCCGACAAGCTTTCGGGAACAGGGGGGCTGGCCACTCGGCG